CGCCACGAGGCTTATTCAGCAAGCTGGAACTAACCTTTTGACTATTAGAGCAAGAAGAGAATACCAGTAAATTGAAGGATTGGGTTCAAAGCTTAGAGTCTGGCTGAAGAGCTTAATGGGAAACTCCTAATTCGCCTCAAACCACAGGATTTAAATAAACCCATAAAAGGAGAATCCAACAATTGGTGATATAATTACCCAGCTTCAGGGCTTTTTTTTTATCTTTTATTCGGATTTTTAACATGGATTCTGGTTGAGTTGCACTTCATCGGCAGATCGTTGAAGATCTTTATTTGAGATTCACATGCAGACTCCAGCCATTATTCTTCTAATAAAACAGCCTTCGAAAAAAAAAAAAAAAAACTAATTTTCAAGGACTTTTAGAAATTATTATAAGTACTTCAAAATGGCCACAATTGTCTTCAGGTTTTTTAAATAAAATTAAATTTTAGGATATAAAGTCAGACTGTAAGGTAAAGCGTTTGTCTTTTCATTGTTCGTGTAGGCTTTGGTATATTTAATAAATAATATTTATTTTAGGTATATTGTAACTGAAACTTTCATTGTAAATACAGGTTCGAAATTCTTTAAGAGAATGTATGAAAATTAAGATGCGTAAGAATATCTTCGTAATGAAATAACTGTTTGTTTTTGGAGATGATAATTTTCATTAGACTTTATTTTAGAGAATATCAGTAATGTCAACTTTTGAATTAACTTTAATGAAAACGCAGCTGAATGGCAACTTCTTACATATAAGCAATAAATTCAAAAATAATAATTATTTTTTTAATTAAAAAAACCAAAAACGTCATTTAGAATTATATTTATTCAAGAATCCCAGAAAATGTTGGCTTCAATTATGGAAGAACATGCATACTTAGGGAAAGTTTGCTCATTGCCTGCGCAAAGAATTCTATTCTACAGTAAATGTGCCAGCCATTGTAAGAAGTCAAATATATTTTCGAGTTTTATCAGGTTTTCAACTTAGCCAGAAGGTATCTTTTTTCCATTTGAAATGGAAAGATATATAATCTGCATGAATTCTGACCTTGATGCATCGAAACGTCGCTAAGATATTACTAGCCGATCTTTTCCTTCTCTCTTCTCAACCTTATTTTCCTGTATCTTTCTTCTTCAAATCTCCATGGCCTTTGTTTAATGTGTAAAGACATTAGGTTATTTCGAATGCTGGAGACGTCAAAAATGAGCAGTGACCTCGTCGGGACTCGAACCTCGGACCTCTCGTATACGCGACGAGCTTGCAGACCATTACACTACAAAGGCAGGCTAAGAAAACGGGAAAAACACCTTATAAATGTAGCATTGTCATTGCCATCTCTTTAACGTGTTTTCAGTGTGATAGCTATTTTCCCAATGTTTGGAAGAGTAACTATACTATACCCATGTTATTTCTGTTCATATAAGCAATTTCACATAACATAAATATATTTATTATATTAATTTTACTTTTAGTAATTCTTAAAAATTTTTATACGTTGTTCGATGCAATTTGGTAAGTTTTTTAGACCTGGGAACGCTGTAAACTTTTACCACCCATTTTCCCATAGAAAATTAATCGTAATTGCTTTTCTTTGCTTCACGCCATTTCGCTTTGCAAAAGGTGACATAGGAACGCTCTACTTTCCCAACGCAGGAGAAACTTGTACCATGATACAAGAATTGCACATGTCCAGAACAAGTACCTATTTGCACTATTTTATCATTTGTCTTCTCGTTTATTCACCCTTTAAATTTTAAGTGTTAAACTCAAATTGCTATCTGCTAAATAATTTCGAACATTAAGATTTTATTGATTGTTTTATGTCATTACTTGCGTAGCGCCATCTACGATAAAATGAGCAGATATGTTTTCTTTAAAATTAACGTTCGACAATTTTTCATTATCAGAAATAAAAACCTTCTTTTCAAAATCAAGGTACCAAAATAAACAAATTGTTAAATTTAACAAAATTTGACAATGCATCGTTATTTTTATCGTTTTCTCTTTCATCAAATAAATAAATTGTAAATTACAGATTGAATGATCATCATAATCCTCTCAAAATCCTATGATTAACCTCTGCAAGATTAAAATTTGTATTTAATTGAAACATTGACATTCGTATTATTTACACTCTATTAATTTGAATTCAAATAGCCACGAGTTCATTTTCACCGGTTCCGGTAACGTTATAGCGGAACTTCAAATACTCGGATTAAAACTTCCGAAACATAATCATCCAGTTTCCTTGTTTTTTATTTTTCCCCCTAGACCAAGTTAGCTTACACTTTTTGCTGTTTATTTACAGGTTTCTGATTTTTTTCATTGATTTAGGTACCGTAAAAACAGTACAGCATAGTACATGTAATTAAGCAGGTTATAGAGTCATCAGGTTTTTTTGATGTCAGGAGACGTAAAAAATGTGCACTGCCTTCGCCGGGATTTGAACCTGGACCTCTCCAACACGCGTCGAGTATGCTTTTAATTACACCACGAAGGCATGCGGAAGTGTTGATCAAATATGTAGTTTATCAATGAAAGCTTAATGAAGAAGGAATTACGTATTGTATAGAGTTCATTTACACTGTTTATTCCGTGAGTACCTGTTTAACCGTAAGTGGTGTTTTTTTTTTTTTTTTTTTTTTTTTTTTTTTTTTTTTTTTTTTTTACGTACACAGAACGAAAATGGTGATTTATGTCGATTTTCTCTCTGTCGGTTGAAATTCTGTTTCTTTCAGCTCTTTATGAAGTGTGGCACCTCGATTATCATTGTATTTCTTGTATCATACTTCCCTGAAACTGTGTTCACTGTTCAATTCGTTTTTGAGTGGAGACATTAATCTCTGCGATTCTCCACCCCTTTAGGATTTCTCCTACATCATTTGGGCAATCAAAATGATCCGTCTACTTTAGTTCATCCAACAATGAATGGCTCAGTTCGCTCTAAGAATTTGCAAACTATTATTTTACAAATCTGTAATGTGTATTTCCAGTTCACAAATCTTGCCGCTTCACTCTTGAGACTACTTGCTGTTAATAGCACTTTGTCGTATCACACGTTTGCCCCTAAATTACTATCCTTTCAACAATCTACTCATCTCACCTTCTTCACCTGCTACTTATATTTTAACTGTTGCCCTGGGTTTCTCCCAGCTCGAATTTCTCACGCCAAGGTTCGATAGAAAAGGTTGTGTTTAAAAACCAATATGGCTGTACTCAGAATAAGGCTTCAAGCCTAGGAGCTTGGCGTCAATGGCCAACACCCCGTAGAACTACTAACTATGTATCTAGGGAATGCTGCAATGACCCCCATTTCAGCTGACCTTGTTCAGGAAAGTAATTAATCTTAACAATATTTATGTTATTTTGTTTATCCTTTATTATTAGTCTTTGCAGATATTATATTCTTTGCAGTTTACAATTTTTTGTTCTTGGAGAATTTTTGGTCTTCTTTTCCCTTTAATTTTATAAAATGTAATCATTTTTACTTCCTTGTACGAAGTAAAAAGGAAGTATTGTAACCGCGAAAAGTTTCAGGCAACATATTTCAACGAAAATATTTCATTTTGACCGCTATCGAATGCAATTTAACGATGTTTTTGCGTGATATCTTTGCGTAAGGCCAAAATAAAAGACACTTTTCCTCCAAAAAAATTATAAAACTGCTTTAAAATTTATTCTGAAGAGAATTTTTCGTGGCGTCTGTACGTACGAACGTATGTACATACTCGCATAACTCAAAAACGAGTAGCCTCAGAACGTTGAAATTTTGTATGTAGGACTGCTATAACATGTAGATGTGCACCTCGTATTTTGGTTGCAATCGGCCGCACCAAACGTATATAAATATATTTATATATATATCCACTCTGTTACCCGGCTGAGTAATCTCAGTTTCTTTACTCTTATATGCTTGTAAATTGTACATTTTTTGGTTTAAAAATGATTGAATTATGTTGTTTTTATCTTCCGGTTAAGTTTTTTATGTCTTTCGTAATTCTGGAAGCAATATTTGTACAATTATCAACAATTTAAAAGCTGTTTAAGTGCGGTTAAGTTTTAAATAACATGGCGGACATATTTGTTTACATTTGAAACAGCAGAATTGTAGATTTGTTGCCAATCTAGAGAGACTAAGCTTCGCAAAACAAAAATAACGCCTTCATTTATTATTGCGAATTAAATCATGCTTAATCCTTTCTGGAATTTTTTCGAGGAAAGAAGTGTTTAAGATTTACTTCGTAATTTTTAATGCAGATATTTTGAGTTTTTATGTATTTTTGCCTTGTCGCGAAGTGAGAGCTGAATTAATTGAATGAGAAATACTCAATCGTCTGTGAAAAACTGTTTCTTTTCTGTTTTGTTTGCTTAATTTCTTTCATACATCGTTTTAGCTTTATTATAGTATTTGAATAGAACATGTGGCAACGATAATTCTTCAAATGATATAAATTTTGTGCATTCAGAATGTCGTTATAGTAAAAAAAATATAGTGAATTTTAAAGAGTGAATTTATTCTATTGTGGTTTATGCGCTGTCGACGAAGTAAATTTAATTCAATCTAATCAATTTAAATGAAATTCAAGGAAAAAATGCGTATAATTTAATATTCCGTACAAGGAAGTCATGTGGTGTACACATCAGATTTTTTAATTATATGACTTTTTGGTCACTACCGTTTGCGTGCAAAGTACAAGTTGTGATCAAATGAAAAGGTGCGAAACGGTGTAAAAACGTAACAGTTAAATATCTACATATTCTGCCATGGGAGAACGTAGCGAGACATCTCGGGATGCGATTGGAGTCTCTGACTGGGATCTGACATGCGCGGGCGTCCGCAAAGAGGCTGTTATCAAAAGCGGCATCCAAATGATGCGGCAGGCCGTGTGAGGAACAGGATGGCGTTTGCGTTGCAAAATTCGACGATTGTGAAGCAGCGAGGTGTTATCCGATTTCTGGCAGCGGAAGTGAGAAACCGTCAGCTATTCATCGCCGGATGGAGACAGTTTACAGGGAGAAATGTGTCTCTGACAAGTCTGTCAGAAAAGGGAGTGCCCGTTTTCGTGCAGGCCGTGAGAGTGTGGGTGATGACCCGAGACCAGGCCCGTCAAACTCTGTCATCACAAGCGATCTCATCGACAAGGTGAACGACCAAATGAGAAGTGATCGGCGTGTCACATTGCGAATGTTGGCGGTGAAAGTGGATGTCAGCTATGGAACCGTGTGGACAATTGTTCACGACAGGTTGCGATATCTGAAGGTGTGTGCCGCTTGGGTTCCGGAGCAGTTCACCGACCAGCAAAAGGAACTGCGTATGGGGCAGGTACTGCAACATCTGTTTCGGTATCAGGAAGACCCCGCTTTCATGGAGCAGATCGTCACAGGTGATGAAACCTGATGCCATCACTACGAGCCAGAGACAAAGCAGGACAGCATGCAGTGAAAGCATGCGTCGTCACCTCCCCCTAGAAAGTTCAAAGTTGTGCCGTCAGCAGGCAAGGTGTTGCTCACCGTCTTTTTCGACATTCAAAGTCGCTACTTGTGGAATTCTTCGAGCACAGGAAAACCATTAACTCCGATGTGTACTGTGAGACACTCCGACGCCTACGCAGGTCCATCAAGAACAAAAGACAGGGGCTGCTCACGGAGGGTGGGGCTCTGCTCCATGATAACGCGCGTCCACACGTCTCCAGAGTCACACACATGGAACTGGCCAAGTTCAAGTGGGAGATGTTGGACCATCCGCCCCTACAGTCCGGACATATCGCCCTGCGATTTCCATGTGTTTGGTCCACTGAAGAAACACCTGAAAGGGAAGCGCTTCAACTCGGACGACATACTCAATGATGCTGTGAAGGACTGGGTCTCGTCACGGCCACAGGAATTCTGGGAACAAGGAATCCTGCGGCTTGTTCATCAGTGGGATCGTTGTGCTCAGGCCTATGGTGTATATTTTGAATAAAGTCTACATTTGTAACATGGCAAAGCCTCGAGGGCTATATGCCTAAGGGGAGGGATGCCTTCATGGAGGACTTTCTAAGGGAAACTTGCTCATATACACGTTACACATGGGGAAAACCATTAAAACGCTCATGCAGCCAGCCTGTTCGGGAATTCGAACCTCGGACCGAACTACCAGTGTTCAGCGACTTTACCGCTCGGCCGCTGGTGGGCCCGGTTTCGAAAAAGGAAATTTTCCTTCATACACATCCGTTGTAATTCCTATGAGACAACTTCCAAACTCCTGTAAGACTTACTATACATGTTACTTCGACAAAGTGAAGAATTCAAGTTCGAATTTTAAAAATCGAATTTCTTTGTGCTATACCCAAATGGAGCGGGGGAGGGGTAGCAGATAATTTTCATCTGTTATTTACGCACTGTAAATATAAAATAAAAAACAATCATGAATAAAAACTGCTGGTAACCACCAAGCTGGGGAAGGAGACAAGGACTATTAAAAAGGTAACATCGATTATCATTCATCGGAAGAAGGGTTTAGAAAAAGGAAATTTTCTTTCGTACACATCCGTTGTAATTCCTATGAGACGCCTTCCAAACTCCTGTAAGATTTACTATGTAAAGGTTACTTGGACAAAGTGAAGAATTCAAGTTCGAATTTTAAAAATCGAATTTCTTTGTGCTATATCCAAACGAGAAGCTATGCAAAAACAGTAAAATAATCGGCTATAAAAGAGAAGCACTCGAATATTATTCTTTTTCTCATCAACTTGTAGTCAAAGTTTTTATTAGGCTGTTGTCTCATTGATATTCCCTCGAAATACGTACTATACATAAGCTACGGCAAATTACTGCAATTCCCGCAACCTTAAAACAGAATGAAAATGATGTTTGTTGTGGTGGCGCCATCTATTGCGAAGAAGTAAACAAAAATATCTGAAATGGTTCAGTTTCAACAGTACCCCAAAAGGTTACTTTTAAAGTTTAATATCATTTATCAGTAGAGATTATCGATAGAGATGGCCCAGCTAGAACAGAGAAACATTTTATAGGATGCTAGATAAAAATATATTTGGACTCACAGAAGAACGCTATCTTCTGTATACATGAAAAGTATAACGTAACTTATATATAATAATATTTAATGTTTTTAATTAGGTATATTGTAAATTAAACGCATTTTTATCTAAATCAATCAGATTAAACATTTAAAAATATTCTTAAGGCCTGATTTTACTGGTTTTAAACAGCTTAGTTTGTTCATCGATAAAAGGAAGATTGAAAAATAAATATCTTACATTTTGCAGAATCGCAAGACTCGAATGAAAAGTAAAACAATGCATTTATAGTGGACCACATTTAAAGAGAATAAACGCAAAATCGTTTTTTGACACTTTAAGGTACTTCTCTCGCTTTCTTAGCGTGTCTTCGTGGTCAGCACACTGAGCCGGTATTTCAGAGGTCCGTGGTTCGATTCCCGGCGATCCGAAGGCGATTGCTAATTTTTCATCTCTCTGGCTTCCAAAAATCCTGTACTATTGTCTCTACAATAGTACTTGCGATTTCGGGTTAAAGAGACACCGATGTGGAGAAAAATAAATAACAAACTCAGTTTGAGTAACAAATAAAATTAGGCATGCTTCCATTTTCCTGCTTTTTTCCTTTCTGCTGAACTATCTTAAAGCTTTTATATTGTTTAATGTATTACAATAATTGATGTTAAAGTTATCCTTGAAAATTACTTTAAAATGCACGACCATGAAATATTTTCTAACCCTTTTTAAAAAGAATAGAAGTTATTCTGCTTGCTTTCAAAATGTATGCTTTAATTAAATCTTGCTTAAAAAGCACAATTAGTCTTTCGTAAAGGAGGGCTGAAATGAATCTGTTAATGAAGCAGTCTAGAGAACAGAAGATTTTCGTAAGCAGACTTCCAAATAATAAAAAATTTAATGGGAGTTGAAAGATGCCAAACAAAAATTGGTGGTCCAATTAAAATTGCTAAATATGACAATCCTCCAGCTTTAATTATTAACCCTAAAGGTCTATTGCTCTCGAAATGGGATTTTGTGCCGGTTCACTATAAACAACGTCTCACTTTTAAAATTGTTACCACCTAATATTATGACCCTGTATTATTTTTAAAGGAATTAAGTAAGGAAGTATCTGTATGTTTGTATGTATGTTCCTTACAGTGTGAATAAACGATGGTACCTAGATCCATGAAATTTTGAATAACGCAATTCTCGATCCGAACCTTAAAGCCCGAAGTTTGAATTTCGAATTTGTTTTTATTATCTATTTCACATTTTGCAAAACTCTAACGTGTTTTTGATTAACAACTCTATGATTTGAAAGAGAGCTGTATCTACGCTGTTCAAAATAAAACATTTTTATTTCCAGTGCACGAGACTGTTACCATTTGGACAGATGTACGATAATTATCTTTCAGTTTTTATAACAAATTCTGCTCTATGAGAACAATGTGTTAATGCCACCAGAATTAAAATGCTTTTATCTTCCGCACTCCAGCCTGTTACCCTTCATTAAAGCATAAAATACTTTCAAATTTAACATGGAAGTTTACTGAGTAATAAATTTAGCGATTTAGAAGCAATAATCACAGTTAGGACTATTTTTTTCTATTTTTTAGGTGTTTGATTTTAATAAACATGCATTAAAACCATGAGATATTTAATCGGAAATACTTAATATTTTTATGAAATTGCACCATCTGGACTCATTAAAATCATCATATACTTTTCCTTTTTGTATTATAACTATTTTAGGCGGTTGGCCTCGCAAGCAGTCAGTTTCCGAAGAAATAATGTAGCGAATATAAAAATTATGTATGACAACCTATAACACTCTATTAGCAATTTTAAATATATGCTGATTTAAATATTTTGCACCTGAATAGAGTTTTATGTGGCGCGAGGGCGAAGAATGTGATAATTAATAAATAAATTTATTATTAGAAAAACACAAAAAACTTTCGTTATGCCCCCTCTTTCTTTTCGTGTCGTATCACAAATAATTCCAGTTTTTGCAGAAGCCTAGCAAAGTTGACTGATAATACACATAGAAATATTTGCTAAGATAAAAAAAAAAAAAAAAAAAAAAAAAAAAAAAAAAAAAAAAACACCAGTTCAAAGGTGGTTAATTTTTTTTTCCAACTTCACTTTGTATTTAAATAAATTAGTTTATACATATAAACAGAGCTTGCTGATAGTTGCTGTCATATTTAATTACATTCCACTTCTTTTACACTGATTTTTAATAAATTACTAAAACAATTAAGAATTTAAAAAAAAATTACCACTGAGTGGGTGTGGCGTTTAAAAGGGATGTCGAAATGTTTAAAAGCCTTTTAGTCAGATTATTTCAATCAGATCATTTCATTATTGTCAGATCATTTCAAAATTTCTCTTCGGTATAGTAAGGGTATCAAGGTATTTTTCTTTAGAAAAAAATGAAAAATCGGTAATTTGTTGGTTTTTTTGGTACGAAGTCCCCTTAAAACCCTAAGAGTGATTTTCAGTCTGTAAGAAGTCTGTATCGCTCTTATCTACTGTTATTTGCGATGCGAAAATTTCGAATCGCAAATAATACTAGATACACAAATAACACACACTTGCGATTTGTGATGCGAAAAATTTCTGTCACTTAATTAATAATATTAGAATAATTAGCTAATGGCCAAACTACTTAAGTCCAACCAATTAACTATTATTTATAAGCACAACGTGATTCTTTATAAAAGAGAGAAATATTTAAAAGTTCTTTTGCATCATCTTAACAGAAACAAGAGAAATCCAAAATATCTATTTTCAGTTCAAAGAGAAGGAAGAGATTATTTATTACAAAACAAAAATATTTTCCATTCTAACCGATAGATGGAAGCAGCAGACATAAATTTAAGAAATGGTTTAGTATTACTAGGAATTTTCGTTAGTATGAAACAGCTGTGAATAAATGCAAATTTTTTTGGTAATAGAGATTAAATGTAAAATATTGTTTATGAACTTTATTCAATCGAAACTGGTGAAAAATTGGTATTTAAAGAAATTTCTTGTAATTAGTTGTCTATTTACTTCGCGGGACACGTTGTTCAAAGTCTGGGTCTGCATTTTGACGTTTGCTATATCCAGTACCCCATTATCGCGTTCTCTTATTAAATGACTCGCCATATTCACAACATAACAATTTTTTACATTTAACAAAAACAATTTACAAGAATGCATGCGTCTGCACGACAGCACCAGCAGAATCACACAACTACACTTACAGTTGCAAGTGTAGTTGTGTAATTTACACTTAAAGTTGCATACATACAGTTTCTTATAGTTAAACTTTTAGGTAAATGAAATAATGCAATTAAATAAACAGAAAGTAAATAGAAGTTCGAAAGTTCTAGCTACGGTTAAGCCTTCATTC